CACATATGTAATTTATGGTGGGTCCCTATATATATTATATTTTATAAAACACTTAATTTATTTTTCTCTTTGAATATTAAAATATTGAAAATTCAGTTTTTCTTTATTTATAAATCCATTTTGAGAGAATAAAATATCCAGAGAGTTCTAAAACTTTATTGTATTAATCTAAGAATCATTTAATATTAAAATAATTAATTATAAATTAATTTGATGGGATTTGGATCCAACTATGTTAAGGAATTGTTAATTTTGTTGAAGAACTTCATCTTCTAATGGGGACTATAATCCACACTCACTTTCTCAAACTGACCCAGCAATTCCCATGACCCACAGACCATTGCAAGGGTTTATGATGAGGCTACCAAAGTCAGCCAATAGGTGAGGGGACACAATCCCAGTCTATGAATTACAAGTTCCGGCCAGAGAAAAGTCCAAGGTCACACAGACCTGGTACAACCACAACTCTATGGTGCATAAGGGCCATCTCTTGCACATATACACTATCATTCTCGATGGAAATTTTCTTTCCTAATATGGCTATCACATGTACATGGCATGTGATGGTTCAATGATGAGGCTTTGGCCCTCGTCCCTATAGGCCAATCAATCACACACAAGGGTCACGCAGTTCCTTTGCTCACAATCCTGGGTAACTTCGATTTCATTAAGGGGTAACCCTTCTAAACCTCATCGATTGTGCTTGATGCCCAGGTAATTTAGGGTTTTGCAACTCAACTGGCCTAGCATGTTAAGCTGAGTCAGAGTCTTGGCAAATATCATTTGCCAAGACTCGGTCCCTCTGGACCATACTCCCACTGGAGTTCAGTGTTCCACTATATCAAATATTGATTACATGCTCTCATAAGGGCTTTAATGGCCACAGAAAGCCAACACATTTTTCACCAAGACCCTTTGATCCTTACTCTTAATGCATTTAATATGGTCTAGATCTCTACACTTTTTTCTCATTTTTGCTAATTTGAAGACATTGTTTTCACGTTTTCTTGGTTCCAATTTAATATATAGTTACTTACTATTTGTTGAGTATGTTTCTTAGCATTTTTATATTCTTCTAAGTTTTGATCATTTCTATTACATTGCCAAGTTTTATAACATAATCGGTTTTGCTAATGGCCTTCTGAACCTCATATCTTCACTACCAAGTTTCCTTGTCGAAATTCTTTTCCCTCTAGTTTTAGGAAAAACTTCTCTTGCCAGTTTTTTAATACATTCAATCATCTCATTCCACATAATATTGACCTCATGTTCAGAGTTCTATTTTCTTTAATTAACTTTAATTTATCCTTAAATAAGTCTATTTTCTCAGTTTTTTAATTCCACTACTTAGTTATTAGACTCCTATTAATTTCACCTCTTCCCTTCCATTTCTTTATGCAGACATCTATAACTACGAGCCTATATTGCGCAGTCAAATTCTCCCTGGGATAACATTACAGTCTTTCAATGATGGTCGATCTACCTTCTTAACTAGGAAGAAGTCTATCTACCTTTTTATATGATCCACTTTATAGGTTATTAAATGTTCATCTCATTTTGTAAAGTAAGTGTTTGTTATTGCTAAGTCATAGGTCAGCAAAATCTAAAATAGCCTCACCCATTGTATTTCTTTCAGCAAACTTATATCCCCCATTATACCCCTTCATATCCTCTAATGTCCTTCCCTACATGACCATTTAAGTCCCCTCCTTTAAAAGGTCCTCACTCCATTTGGCATGTCTTGGACTAGTCCATCCAAGTTCTTTCAAAATTGTCTCTTAATTCTATCCTTAGTCCTACTTGTGGTAAATAAGCACTAATTACATTACATTACTTATCTCTTTCCCTAATACAAGTTTAATTAATAGGAGCCTATCACCTACTCTGTTGACATTAACTCGTTTTATCTTTTAAATCTTTTTTTTTATCAATGTGCTTATGTCATTTCTATTATTATCTTTTTTTGTATACCAAAGTTTATACCTATCCATTTCCTTAGCTTTTTCCCCTTTCCACTTAGTTTCCTGTATATAAGCTATGTTTACTCTTCTTCGTCTCATTGTATCTACTAACTCCATACTCTTTCCTGTAAGCGTTCTTACATGTCATGTGGCTAGACAAATTCTATTCTCTTGAACTGGCTTTTTTATTGCGCTTGTCTAGGCTGGCACGGGAATTCTTGCTTATTTTTCACCGCAACCAGATGGTGCTGAAGCACGTTGCTTCTTGGGAACGCCCTAACTAACCCTTTTTTATTTTTCACTGCACCCGAGTTTAGGTAAAGTGCATCGCTTATGGGGAATGCCCTATCACAAGCAGATAATGTAAATTTACGATTCATGGAAAGTTTTGGCAGATTTTTATATTGGCTACCTAAACGCAAACCACCTCCTTTATCTGGGCTTGAGTTAAGGAAAAGTTTAAGGTCCTCACCCTTTTTAGACCACCTTTCATTTTTTTTTATGGAAGCGTTAAAACATCATCTTGAATGTTTTATAGAGAAAGATAAGTTATGGCATAGGTAGAGAGGCATAGAGAGGAACTCAAAGAAGAGTGACCCCTAATTCATTCATGAGGCTGGGGCTTGCACTTAAAGATATTATTTGTAAAATTTCTAACCCTAAATTTATTGAGGGTTAGATAAGGGTACAAACAAATTCCGAAGTTAAATAATTGTCCTTTACAATGAACATGAACTACAAAAACAATAATAATTTACAGCAATATACAAAATTACCAATATATTTCTAGCCAATATGACTAACACTCCCATGTAGTGCAGCGTGTTTTAACATTAACAACTAGACCTTCAAATACTGAGCCGTTCCTTTGATAACCCTTTATGTTTGCTGTTTGTTCTTCGGTACCCATGAACATTTCTTCAATTTCTTTAGCTTCAGTCCTTTCCCGCACAAAATGATGATCAATCTGAATTTCTTTAGTTTCAGTTCTTTCTCATAGCAAGTGCATGTACAGTTGCAAATGGGTAGTCGCACTTCCAATCTACTGTGAAGAGATATGTTCATGTGCGAAGAGAGGACCTTCACATCTATTTGAGCACATGTCCCTCTATTTGAGGGCATGTCCTTGGGGGTGCACCTGTAATCCACTGCAACCTGAGAATTGGAGCCACACATTGATTTGACTTGATATACCAAGCATAAGCCCTTGATTATCACTGTGGGTCATGAGTTTGTTAGGTCATACTGAGAAGTGACTTTGGATTCTGGGTCTAGCCAAATGTAGTGTTCCAATAGGATCCAAATTTTCCTCATTGATATTTTTTACAACTTATGGCGATTCACAACTTATGGCACTCCATCGACACAATGGCGATTCACAACTTAGCTCTGGTGAAATTTTTGGGAATTTTTTGAGATTTTTCGGAGCTAAAAATGGTGTTTTCTGGATTTATATTGGGAAATGACAAACAAGGACAGACCACAACGGTCATGTTAACACTTATAAAAAAAAAAAGGACAAACAACAACGGTCCCACACGTGACACCCAAGTTGCCATTGGGTGCCACATGGGTGTAAGTAGTGAGAGAACTATACGTTGAGCTCCATTCAAGCTTGAGGTTGATCATAAAATTTCATGGGGTTCAAATTGAGTGAGATCTTCTTCAAATTCATTCAACCTTGAAGCAATCCATGCCTATAAAAAACATTTTACAGCAAGGTATTTCTATCTCCTTGCTTCTTAATTGATGAAGAATTGAGCTAAGTTTGAGCTGTGTGATTAAGGGCATGATCTATAGTTGATTGAGTTTATTAGTGGAATTTCTCCATGCGTTTTCAATTCATTTTGGGATCTATATCAGTTAATTAAATCACCTTATTTATGGTCTATTTTGGAGATTTGCAAAGGAGAACTATGTCTGATTTCTCCCATGCCATGCCTAACTTTTCTTCCTACTTCATGAGTTTTTAGGCCTCCATTTCTTCTACAATTTTTCCCGCAATTAGATCCCAATTTTCAAAAGTCTTTTCACCATCAAAGAGCCACTCTAAGTGTAGATTAAAGATGCTATTGCTTCCCATTGTGTTGATGAAGTGCCATAAGTTGTAAATCGCCATAACATGTATATTCCTTTAAAGAGCCATCTAAGTGTAGATAAAAGATGCTATCTTCCCATTGTGTTAAATGAAGTGCCATAAGTTGTGAATCGCCATAACATTTCACTCTATGATAATATTCCATTAAAGAGCCACTCTAACTGTAGCTAAAGATTCTATTTCTTCCCATTGTGTTGATGACGTGCCATAATTTGTGAATTGCCATAACATGTCACTCTTATGGTATATATATATGACCTTGGCAGTAAATCGGGCAGCATGAGCTCCTTAAGGCTTCCCATGATCATGTTTCTTTGAGTGCTTGAGAATTTATGTGTTTCTAACATGGAGATTGAGATTTGATGTCTCTTGTATTCAAAATTCATGTATAAGTTTGCCTTGTAATTTTATATAGTGCTGAAATTTTATAAGCACTAGTTTTATGTGGTGTACTCGATCTCCATAGTTTGGTAGTATTTTTGACAAGGGACCCAAATTGAATTGTAGCCCTTGTTCTCAAGAGTATCTAGATGTTTCTAAGTAGCTGTAACTTGGTCTTATGTGGCTGTAATTGAGGCAAAATGTGTCGTATGTATTATAATTGCATGTAAATTTGAAGTTATATTGTAAAGTCCAAGTGAAAATTTCAAGAATTGTACCTTTGTCTTGGTTCCATTGACTGTCATGTTGTCTGTTTCCTGAGTCATTTTCTTCTCAAATGTTATATATTTCTTGTATGATTAGTTTTGTGAAATATTGTGGGGGTTCCTTCCTCAGTATATGATAAAACATGCACTTCAGGGATACTTACGCATACTCCAAAGAACTTGAACTGAAAGAGTTCTTAAAGTCATTTTTGGTATGCTTTTACCTTCTTGTATATGATAAGTAATCGCATATCATTATTTATTTAACAACGACATAACATTTTCAAATTACAGATTCAAGATGTCCTATTAGAATACGGACTTGAAAATGTTGCAGAAACTCTCATTGAAGGTTTATCACGAGTGAAGAGATGTACAAATGAAGGGCGAGCACTAATGTCGCTAGATCTTCAGGTCTCTCCTGGAGCTTGTTATCACTTTAACGTGTCATGCCTCCATATGTACATGTTTTCTCGTCTTAAACTACTAAACTGTTTACACTTTCATGCTTCTATTTACAGGTATTGATTAACGGACTTCAGCATTTTGTTTCTATCAATGTGAAACCAAAGATGCACATTGTCGAATCATTTATTAAGGTATGATATTGGGGCTACATTTCTTCTTTATGTTCATATGGAAGAAAATTGTTATGGAAAGAAACCTGTTTTAGCATTTAAGTAGAACCGTAATTTCCTTCCAATTACCATTCGAAAGGTAGAGATGCATAAGTCATTGCCATTTTCCTTGCAATTTTCCTTCTACATTGGATTGGATATGACAAGAGCTGTGCTATTCTGCAAAATTGCAACCTGATGATACATGTAATAAGAGACTTATATTGAAGCATTAGTAAACTGTCATTTGCTTAGTAAAACAAGTTTTAGGTGGATATTTGTGGCAATAGGCATCAGTAATTGCATCTCATGATCTTGAGTTTCTTATAGTTGATGAAAGAAAAGATTAAACATAAATGATAGGAAACACTTTCAAAATTATGAATATTTAACTTTTGTTGATCCTAAATATTAAAGTTTCTTTTCGTGTACTTTTAGAAGATGGTGTATAAATAGATAGATGAATAATGACATTTATTTACTTATCTTGGTTTTTTGTTTATATTTCATATTTGAACATGGCATCATAATCCTTGTGGGATTTTGTAATCTGCCATAATAATTTTGAAGGTCTCCCATGTCAACTTGCATCTTAATAATGATTGATACGTGCGGGGAACTTCAGTACTTACCGTCTGCAAAACTTGTTTTTGACAGGCCTATTATCTCCCTGAAACTGAGTATGTACACTGGGCACGGTCCCATCCGGTAAGAGTTGATCTCTTGTTCTGAGATATGTCTATGCATGTTTTCTCCATTGACAGACCTAAGGATATTACCTACTATTGTATTGCAGGAATATAGTAAAAATCAAGTCATAGGTCTGGTCAATCTGGTTGCATCAATGAATAACTGGAAACGGAAGACAAGATTGGAGATGCTGGAAAAGATAGAAGCCATCAACTCTTAACATTAGTTATTCATTTTGTTGTTGGTGGGAAAGAATTTTATGGTAACTCCTCATTCTTTTTTTTTTCCCCTCATTTTCTTTGTTCTGTAGAATATGTATATCAGATGCTGAATGCTTCCTTTTGTTGGTGCATTCTCTACTGCTGTATATTTGTTTATATGAGGTCAATATGCCATGTCCGTATGCTATTCTCAAGAAAGAGTGGCTTCATATTTCATCCATTTCATCTCCATTCACATGTTTGTGCCTTGTGTCTAGGAAAAACTTATAGATAAAGATCTATATATATTAAGTTAACTTTATAATCATATTAATAAGGGTGCAGCTTGTATAAGGTTGCAACCTTATAAAAATAAAGTTGTGATACTTTACACTGCTCATTTTATTTAGATGATGTAGATTTGACAAATATTTTAAGATATGTTAATACATGACACATTTTTTAAACTAGTTTTCAATCTACACCATCAAAGTAAAATAGATATGTAAATTACTATAACTTTAGTTCTGCAAATAAGGTTGCAACTTTATATAAACTTGCTACTATTAATAATAGGGGTACGGTTTGTATAGAGCCGAGGCTCTAAACAATCAAAGTAACATGCACCTTCAAATGGTGTGGTTTCAATACTAGAAATCTTTGTGATGGCCTTAATATATTTTTATCTTTAATTATAACATTTAAAGCTTTAAAAATAGTGTAGATTGAGCAAATCTATGAAAACTTGAAAATTGATCGTCCAAAAATGTGTTACAAGATGCATTCTTTCTAAAACTTTAAATCCATTTTTTCTCATGTCCATGCATCTTAATGTCGAGATTATCAATTTGAGGATATTTGAGCATCAAAACAACCTCGTGTAGTGAAATTTTTGAGGTGGGCTCTGATTTTATTGTTTAGAGCCTCGGCTCTACATAAATTTTTTCCTTAATAATAATTTCTATAAGCATAATTTTTAAAAATTAAAATTTCAAAAGACAAATTATCAATTCTGATAAAATTATAATGATGAAATAAACTTTATATTTGATTGAATAATGCTTTAATAAATAGACAGCCTTCCACTGCGTTGGTCAAGGCTTTTGAATATGGCTTCAGTCGATACCCATTCACCAGGAACTCCCTATCTTCACCATCTATGGGCTTGAGGACAGTCCCATTGTTGCAAGGCTCCCCGGAACTGTTACGCAACTGCATCTTCTTGCGTGCGAGAGACTGGTGTGTCCATCAAGGTTGAGAGTAATGGAATGAATAATCCATGGCCAAAGGAAAGGGCAGTCCGTTCCCCTTCCTATTTCACCATTCTCGTGTCGTGTTGGAAAGAGTCTCCGTCGTACCTTGGAGAATCGGTCTTACCCGATCTTACTTGAGCGGTTACCATCAGGAATTATGTATAGTAGTCCGTGTGAGATCATGTATTGATTCAAATCATTCAATTATTGATTCAGCCATTCCAGCTGGATTGCTGCTTCAAGTGCCGAGGCAAGAGGATTACTTTCGCTCTTTTTCCTCTATCCTTGTTTTTTCAGCTTGCCGAAAGAGATTTGCTCATTCTTTCAAGGAAGTTCGTGCATTCATCCCATAATTTTAATAATTAGATAAATTTTCACATATATCTATTTTTTAATTGTTATTAACAAAATCACTATATAGATTCTATTATCACTTCTATACCTATTTTTTTCCATCACAACACTTTTTTAGAAAAACATGATGAAACTACCCTATTTGGTTTTTCAAAACTCGAAAATCGTAAATTTTTTGTTTTTAAAAATTTGAGAAAATCAAATTTTTTATATTTAGTTTTTCAAAATCAAAAGTCTCAATTTTTTTGTTTTTCAAAAATTGAAAATATTAAAATTTCAATTTTTCAAAAATCAAAATTCTCAATTTTTTGGTTTTTCAAAAACCATAAATGTACCATGGCTTTTTATTTTCTTGAATTCTAAGAACAAATAAGTACCTCATTGGCTTGTTAATCAATTCCAAATGTAGGGGGTGCATGGTCTCTGTCTCTTCACTGTTATCGATAATTAGTTTTTTAACTTGTATGTTGCACTCTGTGGGGGGAGGGAGTAGGTGGGAGTAAGAAAAGAAAGGTTTTCTTATTTAAAATAAGGGAAAATTACCAAAAACTCTCAAATATATTATCTATGCAATTTACCCGTCAGCTAACATTTCTTCTCATTTTTTTTTTCCACAACCATCTTTTTTCGCAAAAACCCCCCAAATTCAAAACAAAAGAGAAAAATGACTAAACTACCCCTTTTTCTCTCTTTGTAGCTTTTACCCACGACACTCTCCCCATGTGCTTCGGCAGTCCATTTAAATGTTTCGACAATGAAGACATACGCTTCGGCAATGCAAGGACTCGCTCCGGCAGTACACCTTCTAGAGGCATAGCGCTCCGGCAATTGAATAAGTCGCTTTGGCAATGAGGACACACTCCGGAAGTACAAATATGTGCTCCGGCTGTACAAAGATGTGCTCCGGCAGCACACCTTCTGGTGCCACGTTGCTCTGGCAGTTGAATAGGTCGCTCCGGCAATAATGACAAGCACTTCGACAGTGCACCTTTTGGAGCCACATCATTCTAGCAGTTGAATTGGTCGCTCCGGCAATACGCTACTTGGGATCGTCAATTGACTTTTTTTTTGTAGGGAAGGGCATTTTTGTCCAAAAAATAACTATTTTTTACCTTGGGGGTTTTTGCAAAGAAAGGTGAATGTGGGGAAAAAAATGAGAAGAAAGATTAGCTGGGGGTAAGTTGCATAGATAGTATACTTGATGGGGGTTTTTGTAATTTTCCGTTAAAATAATTTAGATTGTCAAAGGTGATGGTTGTGTCATGAGAGAGAGGAAGACTTGGTCGAGTTAACCGCAACGCTTAATGATGAATTCCTTGAACTCGGATAGATGGCTAGCCTTAGCCAAATAATCTACATGGTGCTCATTCTGCTTACACTCAGAAAAAAAAAAAAGAATTTTATGTTGGGCTACCCAAGAATTGAATATTTCAAGGTGGGGACTCACCAATATTGGGTTTTGTAAACACTCGAAAGCACAAATAGAAAAATGGGGCAATTTTTTTTCGATGGTCCATGTGAAAATTGCAGTGTTTAAAAAATCGCCGAGTCGAACCGGACTCGCCCGGTTTGACTCGGGAATCACTACAAAACGCGTCGAATCGGCATAAAAAACGGGAATCGCCCGTGTCCAGAGAGAACCGGGCGATTCCCAATAGTAGACTCGCGATTTTGTCCGAGTCCCAATAGTAGAATCGCGAGTCACCCGAAAGAACACGGGCTGAAGAGTGTTCTTCACGGGATTTTGATTTTTTGTCTTTTTTTTTATCGATTTTCAACGTTTTCAGCCTTATGAACGAATATTACAGGCTTTAATTCAAATTTCGAATCATTTTCACTCAATAAAAAGAATTAAAAACCACCGTTTTTTATCAACAAATTTGGTTCGCAGAGTAAGTTTTAGGGTTTCTGCCATTTTCACGATTTCAATCAAAATAAAGCTTCATTTTTTGTAAAATTTCAGGCTGAGTGATTTTAAGAGTGTTGGTCAGAATTTTGTGTTCATAATTTGTTATTATCTTGGAGGAATACATATCAATTTTGAGTTTGAAGGCACGGATGCACGAAGAATAGGTAAAAACTCAGAGTTTTTTTTTTTTTTCCCCATTCGATCAAATCCAGTCAATATTTTACAAATCATGTATTAAATTTATAGGG